GTGGTGGTAGTGGTGGTAGTTGTAGTTTTTACGGGAAGAAAGGAGGAGAGATACAACTGCAGCAACTGCAGCAGCAGCAACAGCAGCAGCAGCAGCAGCAGCAGCAGCAGCAGCAGCAGCAATATTATAATAAATTTCATCAAGTACAACAATTTGTACCTAATTTACTTAAATGGATAGATATATTAAAAGGTTCTGCTGCTGCTGCTGCTGCTGCTGCTGCTGCTGCTGAGGAAGGAGGAGGAGGAGGAGGAGGAACAGCAGCAGGAGGAGGAGGAGGAGGAGAAAGTAATGGGAAAAGGAAGCAGCAAGCAGCAGCATTACTTAGGGCTATTGGTGGGGCAACAGACAGCAGCAACAGCAGCAACAGCAGCAATTGCAGCAACAGCAGTAACGATACCAATAATAACGATACTAGCAACAGCAGCAGCAGCAGCAGCAGCAGCAGCAGCAGCAGTGCTTATACATTACCACCTATGGATGAGAAGACACTACGTTTGCTGCAGCTTGTTGAGGAAGACACAACAACAACAGCAGCAGCAACTTCTGCTGCTGCTGCTGCTAATAATAATAATAATTATAATTATAATTATAATAATTATAATGAGGATAATCATACAACAAGACATGCAACAGCAGCAACAGCAGCAGCAACAGGAGATGGTAGTTGTCAACAGGATAAACAACAGCAACAGCAACAGCAGCGTGATGTTAGCTGCAGCACAGTTGTTGCATCTGTTAGAAGTAATTGTTACAGCAGCAACAACAACAACAGCAGCAGCAGCAGCAGCAGCAACAGCAGCAGCAGCAGCAGCAGCAGCAGCAGTGTGGAGACATTTGCAATGTATCAAAGGACAACGCAAACAGAAATAGGAGATCCAGCAGCAGCAGCAGCAACAGCAGCAACAGCAGCAACAGCAGCAACAGCACCAGCGTCTATTACAGCTGCAGCAGGAGGAAGTAGACGACATGCTGCTGCTGCTGCTGCTGCTGGTGCTGCTGCAGGTTCTGCTGCACCTTCAGCAGCAACAGCAGCAGCAGCAACAGCAGCAACAGGAGGTGACTATTTGCGTCATCGTCCCTCCTCTCGTTCTTTCCCTCATCATCATCAGCAGCAACAGCAGCATAATAACCACCACCACCATCAGCAGCAGCAGCAGCAGCAGCAGCAGCAGCAGCAGCATCGTGCAGCAGCAGCAGCAGCACGTAATAGGAGTACATTTGGAGACACCCAAGGGGGATGGAGACCACAAGAGATGTTTGCTGTTAATAAAAAACTCTTTGGTGTTACCTCAACATACACCCCAGATGTATATACTGTACCCCTTAAGCAGCAGCAGCAGCAGCAGCAGCAGCAGCAGCAGCAACAGCAGCAACAGCAGCAACAGCAGCAGAGGGTTAACCAGCAACAGCAGAAAATGCAACAGCAACAACAGCAGCAAATAATTCAGCAACAACAGCAACAACAACAATTGCAGCAGCAGCAAAAGTATCAACAGCAGCAACTGCAGCAGCAACAAAAATTACAGCAGCAACAGCTGCTGCAGATGCAGCAACAGCAACAGCAACTACAACAAAGACATCTACAGCAGCAGCAACTGCAACAGCAGCAATTGCATCATCAGCAGCAAATACAGCAACAGCTACAACATAGACAAGCGCAGCAGGAGCAGCTGCAGCAGCAATATCTAGAGAGGCAGCAGCTGCAGCAACATCAATTGCAGCAGCAGCAACAAGAGCAGCAGCAACAGCAACAGCAGCAACAGCAGCAGCACCTGCTTAATTTGTTAGGGAGAGCGGCTGAGTGGAGCCGACAGAATAAACAGCAGCAAGGTAAGCCGAGCTGTAGCTCGCAACTGCAGCAGCAGCAGCAGCAGCAGCAACACCAGCAGCAGCAGCAGCAATCCCACATCAGCATCAGCAGCAGCAGCTGCAGCAGCAGCAGCAGCAGCTGTGCAGCGCCATCATTAATGGGCGCTGGAGGGAAACACTTGACGGGATCTGCTGCTGTTATATATAGGGAACTTCAGCAGCAGCAGCAGCAGAAGGAACAACAGCAGCAACAGCTGCAACAGCAGCAGCAGCTGCTGCAACAGCAGCAGCAGCAGCAGCAGCAGCAGCAGTCTCTGCGGCGTGCTTTATTGGAAGCAGGTAGCCGCAGCCGTCAGCGTAATCGCGCACCTTTGCTGCAACCACCGACAACAACAACAACAGCAGCAGCAGCAGCAGCAGGTGCTGCTGCTACTGTCTCTTTACAGCAGCATGGGGAGAAGCAGCTGCAGCACGAGCAGCAGCAGCAGCAGCAGCAGCAAGCTTCTTCATGTGTCCGTGCATGCACCCCTTCTTGCGTCCCTCCTCCTGAGTATATGCAGCAGAAGGAGCTGCAGCAGCGACTGCAGCAGGAGTTGCTGCTGCAGCATCCATACGATATATGCAGCAGCAGCAACAGCAGCAGCAGCAGCAGCAACACAACCGCAACACATGCAGCAACCGTTTTAACGCCCACCGGTGGGCGAATACCGGCCAATCAACTAAACAGCAGCAGCAGCAGCAGCAGCAGCAGCAATAGCAGCAGCAGCAGCAGCAGCAATATAGGTATAATAGATATGAATATATTATTGTCTCCTCCTCCTGCTCCTTATTTATGTGCTGCTGTGTCTCCTAGTGATGTTAGTGATTGCCAATCTATAGGAGGAGACAGAGGAGACAGATGTTCTTTGTCTCTTTTATCTATAAGATCTTTATTATCTATTAATGATGCAGCAGCAGCAGCAGCAACAACAGGAACAGCAACAGCAACAACAGCAGCAGCAACAGCAGCAGCACATCATACTCATCATGATGATTATTATCATGGGCATATTAGGGAAAGAAGAGGATTAATTAGGGCTGCTTCTTGGTCTGCTGCTCCTGCTGCTGCTACTGATGCTGATGCTGCTGCTGCTGCTGCTTCTGCTGCTGCTACTGATGATGATGATAGTGATAGTGCAGCAGCAGATGCACATGCAGCAGCAGATGCATGCACACCCTTTTCTAGGCAAAATCATGCTTCTTGTAGCAGCAGCAGCAGCAGCAGAAATAGCAGCAGCAGCAGCAGCAGCAGCAGGTTTGCTTTCCGTGGGGGAGAAGGAAGACAAACACTCCCAGGGATCTCCTTAAATCCACCGGCAGCAGATACAGCAGCAGCAGCAGCAGCAGCAACAGCAACAGCAACAGCAGCAGCAGCAAAAGCAGCAGCAGCAGCAGTTGATTGAATTCTTTTAGGCTCTTAGAAGAAATATCTACAGAGCAAAACTTTTTTCTATTTGCAGCAGCAGCAGCAGCAGCAGCAGCAGCAGCAGCTGTTGCTGCTGCTACTGCAGAAGCAGCAGTAGTTGTCGCTGCAGCAGCAGCTGTTTTTGTTACTGCTGTTGCTGCAGTAGCAGCAGCAATTGCTGTATTTGCTGTTGCTGTTGCTGCTGCTGCATGCGCTTATTTGCTTTAAGAAATTGCTGCTGCACTAAAGAGGCAGCAGCAGCATTAAGGCAGCAGCAGCAGCAGCAGCAGCAACAGCAGCAGCTGCTGCTGCAGCTGCAGCTGCAGCATATGCTGAACTTTTGTTTTGTGTGTTTATTGCCGTAGAGGAGACAATAAAAAGGAGACAATTAATTAATTAATTAATTAATTAATTAATTAATTAATTTAATTAATTAAAAAAAGGAGACAATTAATTAATTAATTAATTAATTAATTAATTAATTAAAAAAAGGAGACAATTAATTAATTAATTAATTAATTAATTAAAAAAAGGAGACAATTAATTAATTAAAAAAAAAAGAATTAATTAAATAAAAAAGGAGACAATTATTTAATTAATTAGTTAAAAAAAGGAGACAAATAAATAAATAAATAAATAAATAAATAAATAAATAAATAAATAAATAAATAAAGGAGAAAAAAAAGAGGAGACAAATAAATAAATAAATAGGGAGACAATTAATTTATAAATAAAAAAGGAGACAATAAATTAAATAAATTAAATAAATAAATAAAATAAATAAATAAATAAATAAATAAAGGAGACAATAAATAAATGAAAAAAGGAGACAATAAATAAATAAAAAAAGGAGACACATAGTTGCACATATAGATAAATAGTAAAAAGAAATTAATTAAATAAATTAAATAGATAAATAAATAAATTAATTAATTAGTTAATTAATTAATTAGTTAATAAATAAATAAATTAATTAATTAAATAAAATAAATAGCCAAAAGGAATTGTTTTTGTCCCTTTGTTGCTCCGTAGTAAGGGGCTCTTTGCTCCTTAGTTTGCTGTTGCTGCTGCTGCTGCTGCTGCACCTGCAGCAGCAACAGCAACAGCAGCAGCAACAGCAGCAGCTCCTGCATCTATAGTTGGTGGTGGTGCTGCTGCTGCAGCTATTGCTGCTTGAATAGTTTGCTGTTTTGTCTGCTGCTGCAGCTATTAGCAGCAGCAGCAGCAGCAGCAGCAGCAATTGCTGCTGCTGCTATGCGATTCTTGCTGAACTTTTTCTGTTACAGCACCACGACCACGACCACCATCAGCAGCAGCAGCAGCAGCAGCAGCAGCAGCAGCACCATCAGCAGCAGCAGCAGCAGCTATAGCTGTGCCTCTGCTAATAGAGTAAGTATTAATTTATTATTATCTATTAATTTAATTAAGAAAGAAAAAGGAAGAAAATTAATTAATTTATCTATTAATTGCTGCTTATTTAATGTACCTAGATACCCTCCTCCTCCTCCTCTTCTTCCTTGCTGCTGCTGCTGCTGCTGCTGCTGCTGCTGGTTAGTTGTGTTATGCTGCTGCTGCTGCTGCTGCTGCTGCATGCGCAGAACGGCCTTACGTAGTCTTATGTAAGAAAGTGTCTGAAGGGCAGCAGCAGCCTTAGCACGAACTCTATCAGGGTGGCTGCTGCTGCTGCTGCTGCTGCTGCTGCTGCTGCTGTTGCTGCTGCTGCTGCTGAATATAGACTGCTGTT